TTGACGTGCTTTTACTTGCAAAGACGATTTTCTTTTTTGAGCGTAGGCCCTTAGCTTGCAAAGTTATTGCTGTGTTACCGTGGAGCTGCCCTTATCTTTAAAGATGAAATTCACCTAGCACATTACACAGCTATATATGCCTAATTGTCACACATTTTCCAATCATTATATTTTTCTTTAATGACGAAACTCACCAGTATGCTTGAAAACGTAAGGCAAGCCAAAATTTCATATATTAATTGCCTCCAACAGAGCCCTGGTCTGCGACGACAGCTGCTTCTTTTCCTAGTTGTTGGATTATTACCTAAAAATGCCTGGATTTTTTTTTGACTGAAAACAGGGTGAGGTGCCCTGCATATATATATTTATATAAAGATAATAATGTTTATGTACATAAAAGGCCTATGTTAAGAAACTGGGAAGAACCAATACCCCAAACAATGACCCACAGAACAGCACAAAACGAATGTAAAAACCACAAAGATCAACTTCATACTACTGACACTTTAACATCTAACCAGAATATCCACCAAAAGCTTGACTGGGAACCCCAGATACAGCTAACATTTGGAACACTACCAAAAAATCCAACAAAGATGAGTTGTGACTGCAGCTCTGGGACTCAGGTTGCTGCTGAGAAGTTGTCATCCACATCTGCTTCATTATGTGTTTGGGCAATATTTTTCATGCTCAAGCTGATAGCCGCCTTGTGGAGCTTGGGACCTGACCTGCTAGCAGAGGAGCCTGTCCAAAATAAAACAAATCTTGCCACGTTAGCAGCAATATGGGATGGGAGAGCTTCAGTGCCATTAAAAATGCCTGGATTTAGCAATAACTTAGTAAATGATGCAGCTTTCACCTTCGCACATCTCGAGGGATTATCACACAATTGGAAGAGGTCTATTGCGACTATTGTCATTGTTATGACACCTTACTCATCCTTCACTTACAAACATAAAAAAAAAAAGAAACAATAAAAAAAAAGGAGGGAGTACGTTTCCTTTGACCTTTTTGTCACATTGAGCCCAATTGGCGGGCGATGGAGGCAAAGGTTGCATTGCCACAGGGCATCCATCGACAGCATCCGGTTACCGTAATAATAACGAAGTAATGCCATGCACATACATCATCACCCACCCACGATCTCCTCACAACATTTTCAAACAACCGTTTTTTATTTCATTTCATTTCATTTTATTTTATAGCTTCCCCCTTTCCCCTGTCTCTTCCCAGATCTCCCTCGTCCCGTTTTCCTTCGGTTATCTCGATTGAGATCCATTAATGGCGACGATGGAGAGCTTGATCGGGCTCGTCAACAACATCCAGAGGGCCTGCACCGTCCTCGGAGATCACGGCGGCGAGGGCGGTTCCCTCTGGGAAGCGCTTCCGTCCGTCGCCGTCGTCGGCGGCCAGGTCAGCTTACAAATCTCGTACCTCATCCCTCATTTTGATTGCAACTGTCTATTGATGGCGAATTCTTTGATGCTCAGAGCTCAGGGAAGTCGTCGGTTCTTGAGAGCATCGTTGGCAGGGATTTCCTCCCTCGTGGATCTGGTAACCCCTCAAGTTTTCATCTAGAAATTTTTTTGATAAAATGCTGGATGCTTTTATGAGATCCGCATAAGTTTTTACGAGATCTGTTATGATTTAGGCATTGTAACGAGGAGGCCGTTGGTGTTGCAACTCCACAAGACGGAGGAGGGGAAAGCGGAGTATGGAGAGTTCCTTCATGCCCCGAGGAAGAAGTTCACTGATTTTGGTGAGAGGAATTTTGCTGTATTTCTTTGTAATACACTGAAAAAAATTGCAGGGTCTAAACTATGTTGTTGTGAACATGGTTTGCCTTTTGGGTTCTTGAAAATTTTCATAGTTTGTTATTGAAAACAATATGCTATTGGACATAGCTCAATTGGAGACTTAAAGATAACTCGGTTGCAAGTAGCTGTTGTCTGAAATATCTAGTGGAGATGCAGCCTTTTGTGCTTGAGGCCTCGCCATATATTACTGTAATGGGGTGGGGATCTGACCATTGAGTAACAATCCTTGGCTGTTTAAGTCATGATCATGGATGACGAATATGACCTTGCCTGGGGGTTCAGAGTATTATAGCAATGAATAACTTGTGATAAATACATATTTCAATCAAAATCTAGTGTATATTTTGGATCTAAGTAGTGGATTTGATTACTTGATAATGAGAATGAAGTGTGGTAGTGAAATAGCAGGAACATATTGATTCTGTATATGATGTAAATGATGATCTACATACCAAACAATTATGGGATTTATGCAATGAAAACGTCATACTGCTTCAGTCTCATATGGCATGTTTTTTTGGGTGGTGGGTGGTGGGGGGGGTTACATTTTGGCGGGATATTCTGAACAAAGTTTCATGCTCAAGGTTTAAAAGCTTATTCCAACTACTGAAAGAAGAATATATACATATATATATATATATTATATATATATATATATATATATATATATATATATATATATATATATATATATATATATATGATAATTTATGAGAAATTTTATTCTTGTTCATGAGAAAAATTGTCAATTTTCTTTTATACTTCTGTTAGAGGTTATATAATCTTGATGGTGTCATCAATACATGCATACTTACCTTTCAAATGTACAGCTGCAATCAGGAAAGAGATCCAGGATGAAACTGATCGTATGACGGGAAAGTCCAAGGCCATATCCAACGTCCCTATCCACCTGAGTGTATACTCCCCAAATGGTAAGTATACTCGAACAGCCTATTTATCTGTGTATTTATGTACAACTAATAATCTGTTTTCATTACTTTTTCATATACGGATATTTCTTGTTGAAGCGCTTCAGTCTTTCTTGTCATTCACTTAACATCAATTAGATCTGATAAGCGATGGAAGAGTTTTTTGATAGACTGGGATTCATTTGTTTTGAATTTAATAGGGGTAATATCAAAGAAAAGGTCATAAATAAAGGAGTTTATTGAAATCTTACCAATTATTTGTTACCAGTCTTTTCTTTCAGTATTATTGAAAGAAAATCTTACCTCTCATAAAAAAAGAAATGGGAAAAACATTTTATTCTTTCTAGCTAAACAAGTGAAAGAGGCCTATTCAGATAAATGAAAAAAAAAAACAACTGGTCAATAAAAAGTCACCAAAAGTTGGTGTAAAATGTGAACAACAGTTGAGGTCCTTGAGGGATAGGGAAAATATTAGTTAGCTAGATGGGCATGAAAATGCTTTTCCTTTTCTAAAAATTGACTGATGAGATAAATAAGGGGGCAGTCATGTAAACTTCAACCTATAGGTAACCATAAGGAGTTTAGGGGAAGGAAGAGATGTTTAGACCTAAGAAGGGAAAATGAGATAAATTTGCCTTCTCTCTTCTTGTTCTATGAAATGTCCCTAATCTTTCTCTATACGGCATCGATTCGAGCAAAAAAAGATGCAACACTCTGGTTTACCAAGTGTCTTGCAACCACATACTATTGTGACATAGTTTACAATTTATAACCAATTAAATAAAACTTCACTGTGAGTTGTTAAGTTAACAAATGAAAATAATTAATTCTAGTATGTAACTTTGTAGATTGATTTAATAGATATATAGAGAACGAAAGTGATGAACACATGGTTTTATTTTTTGGGAAAGGCTTATATTAGGCTCGAGATAACACTGTAATTTTCACATCAGATTCAAACATGTATGAGTTACTACTATGATAAGCCCTGGTGGAGGCACAAACCTTTTTCCTAGTACCAAAGCATAGTATAGATAAGAACTACTAAGTCAGCATTATGCTTTCCATATATAAACTCACAAGAAACATATAGGTTGAAGTTCCTAAGCTATGTTGCTTGCTAACGATATTGCTTTGGTCAATCACATCATTGAAAATATTAGTTCTTAACATGATAATATAAAGGATTCTGAATTATAAAGAATATAATAAATGAATAATATTTATTGGAGACATAACTTTTACTGGTGGATTGAGGTATATAAGATTGACAATATTCATTATCTAGAGACAATCATCACGGAGATGAAACTCAAGAGGATCTGGTCCATATAGTTAAGAAGTGTAAGCAAACCACTTTGCCTAATTTGGGTTGTGACCAAACAAAATACAAACTTAGCAGATGGGTCTCTGGGTTATGTTGCAAGATTTCTAGCAAAAATTGTCTCACTTGAATAAACATAACAGATAGGATAAAATAAATATATTTTAAATTATAATGATAGAGTCTGTTGATTTCAGGACCATGTGAAACATATGGCAGAAAATCACTTTATCGGAAAGATTAAGCTAATTGGTTGTGAGCAACAATATAGCAATATTCTGTTCTTCGATAACAGTGCCAAACAATTAGCTGGAGTTCTATATTGGCCCAACTATGATGATATTCAATATAATAGGGCCCACAGATTTGGAGTTCTTTTAAAGAACTAATTCAAAGGCCCAGATGAACAATAATAAATAGTCAGGTATCATGTTTGTGAGGAACAACTGTGCTAATTGTGAGGACGTATGTCTAAAAGAAGCTTCCTCTTGTCAGTTGTCGTGTGGACATAAACTAGTTTTATGTTAATATCAGGTTGCAGCTTCAACATGCGGCAAATCATCAAAACCAATAAGTTTATAGGAGCTTAATTTGGGTTTTCAAACTAATATATGTTAATGTCAACAAGATGTCTGGTTGTGAGTCACCAGCGCTACTTAAAATAGTTATCTGGAGAACATTTGTCTTTATATGCATAGTATTAACTTCTAACTTCCTTGAGATCATAAAGCTGATCACCAGTGTGTGATTGCAGTCGTAAATCTAACATTGGTGGATCTTCCTGGGCTCACAAAGGTTGCTGTAGGTAATTTTCTATGTTCTGCTCTTTCACATTTGTGCTGTTGATACTGGTTGCTGTTGATTTACTGGTAAAAGTTGTCCATTTGCAGAGGGCCAACCGGAGTCAATTGTCGAGGACATTGAGCATATGGTACGGTCATATGTTGCAAAGGTATGTTCTCCTTTGATCTAAGCTGAATTCGCATGTTCAAGATACTTTTTTATGCAGTAAATGTTCTTCATATTTTTTAAATTGTTCCTTTTCAGTGCATATTTTGAATGTCTTCTGTTATTTTAGACTATATAGTTGCATATTTTATTCTTTAACATGCCAAAACACTTTGATGAATGTTATGGTTTCATTTGTAGCCCAATTCAATTATATTGGCCATTTCTCCTGCTAATCAAGATATTGCTACTTCAGATGCAATAAAGCTTGCTAAAGAAGTTGATCCCTCAGGTAGAATGTTTTTATTTATTTTATATTTAGCATAACTAGGTGTATACTCGTCCTAGAAAATATCTTCAGTAGTTTTCATTTTATAGCAAGACTTATCAGCTTACGTTGTTATTTTTCTCTTTCTGTATTTACTTGATCTTGTATAGGTGAGAGAACATTTGGAGTTTTAACAAAGCTTGATCTAATGGATCAGGGTACCAATGCTCTGGATGTAGGTTTTTCCTTTACATTTATTTTGCATTAGTGTACAAGGGTGGTTGTTGCTAGTTTAGGTCATTTCTCAACTTGGAGCATTTCACATAACATGGAAGCATGGCACTGTTTTGTGCTTGATATAGGTACTCGAAGGCAGATCATATCGACTTCAACACCCATGGGTGGGAATTGTCAATCGCTCACAAGCAGATATCAATAAGAACATTGACATGATTGTTGCACGACGTAAAGAACAAGAGTATTTTGAAAGTAGCCCTGATTATGGACATTTGGCAAGTAAGATGGGGTCTGAATATCTTGCAAAGCTTCTGTCAAAGGTGAGTGATTTTTTAATGGTTTTCTCTCTCACGTTTGGCTATTGGATTTTAACTAATTAGCTATTGATATGTTCTTGTGGCCATTGTTGCTTCCAGCACTTGGAGTCTGTAATACGAGCACGCATACCAAGTATTATAGCTTTAATAAACAAAACAATTGATGAATGTGAGGCAGAATTGGATCGCCTTGGAAGACCCATTGGTGGTGACTCGGGGGTAAAATTGAGAATAATTCTTTTTATTTAACTTTGACATAATGATGTTTAAATATTATTTTCTGTGTTATACTTTCAGGCACAACTATACACAATACTTGATATGTGTCGTGCATTTGATCGTGTCTTTAGAGAGCATTTGGATGGAGGGTAAGTGCAAAACCTGACTTTTTATGTCATTAAATGAATGCTATAAGTGCATCACTGTATTTTTCCAGTGATAATGTGGTAGTGGATAATAGCGTTCTATTGTTTGTATTCTCCTGGTTAGTCACTGCTAGACTGTAAGATGGTATGGTATAGCTTGTAATGTGGAAGTTACCATAATGTTTAATTGTTTATATTGCCCTGGTTAATCACTGCTAGATAATAAGATGGTACAGTTTCTGGATCATTAGTTTCAGAACATCTAAGACTATTTTTGGTTACTTTTGCAATGATCCGTATGTTGAAGGTGTTGGGTGTCAAGATCAATGAGTCTCTTATACCTGTAAAATCTTATAAATAAAGTATGAATCCATCCAAGTCTGTCATGCAGCGGATTTCTATTTTATGTTATGCATCATACAAGTCTTTCATACAACTGATGGAAGCGCACCAGCGGTTGTGTTTTTTCTTTTTCCCCTTTATCGCAGAGTATCTTTCTCTTTTTTGGGTTTTTTACTTTCTTCCTTTTCTAGATATCATCAGCTTGGGTCCTAGGAACTTCTTGTTGAATGTGGCTTAATGTTCTAATGCTATCAGCTTTACTTTATTTTAGGGCAGTGTGCTTCCTTATAATGGTGACAAACCTTTGATAAATCCTATTCTTCTCTATTTCACGCATATTGCTTAACCAGTTCCTGTCCCCCGATTGGATTTGAGCATATTGGTGCTTACCCTTTGCCAGTACTTTCTAGTTAGGCTAGTTCTTTTCTCATAATTGAGTCCTTGAGTTCCATCTTGAGCACAATACTTAATCAACTTATAATGGCTAATCCTTATTGCTTGATCTGTTTTGGGAAATGTCCTTTGGCTTGGTTTGTTGTCTTACATCCTGCCTCAAAGACGAACACAATTTACTACGATAATTTTTTTTTTCCTTTTCATTTCTGCCAGATTTACTAGGCTAAGAAAAATTTGCAGGATTCTCTGTTCCATGAAATAAACTGACGAAATAATAAGGTAGGTTTTCCAGCAATTCAACTTGTTCCAGCTTCCTTAAAGAAGTCCCTTTCTTCTGGCTAGTATCTTCAGTTAGGCATGCCTCCAACCATGAGAGTATTAGAAGCCAGTCATAAGAGGTCTGTCTAAGCGATCATAGAAACTTTTCTTAATAATATATGCTCCGCTCCACCTATGATTTTTTTTATGATGATTGGCTTAGATGTTGATCATAACTTCTCTTGCCTGTAAGTTTGCACCACTATAGCAGGTAATGGGTGAAAGCATAATATAAATTTCATATACCATCAGAGAGTTTAATTTGGTCTTTCCAGAAATGAAGATCCTGCAGAGCTATTCTGAGGATTATTTAATATCATTGCTCCTGCTTGGTAATGCATGTGTTTGACCTACAACCAAGATTGTATCGAAAATTTCGAACTTGTAGAACATCAAATCAGCCATGCATTACCACTTCTTCAATTCACAGTTTTCAAGAAATTTTAATTATTTATCATATGATTCCTATCTCCATAAAATCTGTTGTCCTCTAATGCAAACATTTAACTATTCTATTATGTTACTGTTTTATAATAGTTGAAATAACATCATTTTGCTTGACATGAACATATGAAATTTGAACCTCGAAGTTACAACAAATGCAAATTAAGTAATACCTCCATATCACTACTTGAATTTTCATCCATTCGTTTTTAAAAATTGTTTTTGCATTATCTGTAGGCGACCTGGTGGAGACCGCATTTATGGGGTGTTTGACAATCAACTTCCTGCAGCCTTGAAAAAGCTGCCATTTGATAGGCATCTCTCATTACAGAATGTTCGAAAAGTTATTTCAGAGGCTGATGGTTACCAGCCCCATCTAATTGCCCCTGAACAAGGATATAGGAGACTTATAGATAGCTCTCTGGGCTATTTCAAGGGTCCAGCTGAAGCCTCAGTAGATGCTGTACTATTTCTTGACTCCTTTTTCTTGAGTCATTTTTGATTGGTCACACACTCAAGCACACACAGCTACGTATACTCCTATAAGCACTAGGATCTTTATGTAGGGGTAGAAAAGTAATGTAATGTAACTAATATTTGTTCAGAAAGTCATAGAATTAGAGGATGTAGGTGAAATTTTCAAAATGAAAGTTTTTCCCCTTGTTGTATGAGTTTATACAGAAGGTTACATGCATGTAACTTTGCGATGGTTCCTAAGCTAGCTGACATTGCTGCCTGCAAGCCCTTTAATCTGTTAAGAAAAATTAAGCAAAAGGCTACGCCTGCACTAACTTGGATGTGGGACCTATATTTGTTGGGGGTTATTATGAATGCTTCTTAATTTACTATTTACCCGTCGCTTGTTAGTGGGCTTCTTCCTAACTAGTGGTTGAGAAATGTATGAAAATGAGCACCAATGCATATTCATATCTGGAAACCTAAAAATGAGACCCTCCACTTATGAGAGTCCCCATATCCTGAGGTACCCCCATCTTTTATCTACAGAATATGGTTGCGTGCGACTTCGTGGAGTAGTGGCAGATTCAGGATTTCTGGAAAGTGGTGTCACCACATAATTAATAATTTAAAAAAATTATAATTGCCAAACTAGGGATCAAATCCCAGAGCTTTAGCCTGATGAGAACTTGCAATCTACACTCTTCATCATTTAACATCCTTTTTGCGTAATGTTTGGGCCTAGCCTTGTTAATCTATGGCATCACGAACGTTAGAGGAAGGGGCAAAAAAGCCTTTACGTGGTTCTAGACAAGGAAAATATGATACATGTAGTTGAAACAATTAAATGTCATAAGCAAATAAAATACTTAACTAATGCAAACATTACGAGTACAGTAACCAACTTTATAATCATCTATAAAAAGCATGTGTTGTTTTCTTCATTCCTTCTCTATATGATTTTATAAAGACGATCCTCCATATGATTCCCCCACCCACCACCCCTCCCCACCCACCCCAACCAATGATTTTATAAAGACGATCCTCCATATGATTCCCCCACCCACCACCCCTCCCCACCCACCCCAACCAAAAAAACCAAGCAGTTAACTACGTAAGGCTTCATTCTCTTGAACCCCTTGGAGGAAGTGGTGTCATGTGAGAGCACTTCCTCTAAGGTGGATCTCGTAATATAGTCGAGAAGGCGAAATACCAATAAAAACACAGTGAAGAACAAGTTCAAAATCCATCTCAAACAACTGTAATGTATCGTCCTTTGTCTTATTCATTATCTTTTATCATCATAACGTTATTTGGGCTCTCTTCACTAGGTTCATTGGCATAACTGCAAAACTTGTTTGAGATCTTATACATACACAAAACTTTTCATTTATTTTTATTTTTATTGACTGAATTTTCAGGTTCACTTCGTGTTGAAGGAACTTGTCAGAAAATCTATTGGTGAAACTGAGGTATTAAACTTATTTCTAGATATGCTACCACCTCTTACCATGTTTATATGTTGATCTGCCTTTCATATAGTTTCAAATTTAGTCATATCTCATTATCCAGTAATGACATTAGCCATTGCACATCATATAATTTTTTCAGTAGTTTGTAACATTCTGGCCAAGAAAGTGAGTGGCCTCTGAATCTTTTTTCTGCTATAGATTCTCTGATTCTTTTTTCTGCTAAGCTTCTAGACTATGAGTTAACTAATATCCACTGCAGCCAAATTGGCTTTACTAACAACAAAGAAGAAAAACAAAATCTGGTCAAATGGTGACATCAACTTAATGCATTGTACAAATTTCAGAAATAATCGAAGGGACATAAAAGAAACTAACAATCGTGAGAACCATCATACATAGATAGGAACTGCAGCAACTTGGAATCACAAAATGAACTTTAAAGGACAGTGCTCAATCCTCAGTTACTATTATCCCTTTTCCATTTAGTATGTTCTCGTAGAGATCAATATAAATTACTGAACTTAACTATCTTTTCCTAATTTTCTACATAGGTTTTAACCTGAAAATTTATTTTAAATATAAGGAGCAGCGCAGCTGAATGTTCGTATAAGCAAGTACTGCAGAGACAACAGCAACTTATGCTAGGTGATAAAGGAGGCATAAGGAGAAGTTGAGAACGCACTTGTTTCTAAAATTTTAGTCTAGTGGCGGCAAAATATGAACTACAAAGTTCATGTATCCATAACTTATTTGAAGTTTGAAGGAGATAGATGCATTTTACAATTTAAGATAGATAAACATGCTAAGGCCCACATTCCTAAGGGAACTTTCTATGTTTATGCATGTGTACCATGTGGGAAGCTTTGAAAGTTTAGCCACTACATTTGCTGGAAGGATATTCTATGCATTAGTTGAATATTTGAATGATTGAATGAATGCATAGTTGAATGTGTGAGAGAAGCAGGTACTTGCAGGTTTTCATGTCAAAAAATAGATTTAAGTTTCTTTCTTCAGCAACTTTCGGCAGTGTATCTAGCTAAAACTTGGGTCCTAAGCAACACATAGTTTTCACCTAACATATAATGTCTAATGGTTCATTGAATTTAAATAGGAGTTGAGGCGTTTCCCGAGTCTACAAGCTGACATAGCTGCTGCAGCAAATGAAGCGCTGGAAAGATTCCGTGATGAAAGCAAGAAAACAGTTTTGCGGTTGGTGGAAATGGAATCCACTTATCTTACCGTGGAGTTCTTCAGGAAGCTTCCTACTGAACCTGATAAAGGTTCGGATAAAAATGCCCCAGCTGCAGACAGATATGGTGATAACCACCTCAGGAGAATTGGTAAGTAAACTTTACTTTGGGTCGGAGTTTTTGGGGCTTGTGCAGGTTCTCTTAGAATTGCAACATGAGAAGTTGAGAGACAGGCACATGTTCCCCCCTTTTGTTTATATATTCACAGAGCTTTAGTTCTTTTATCTCTATGATGTTAGATGAAACATAAATGAAATCTAATGCTTGGATATGAACCAGAGTAAACCAATTTGAAAAGACATGCATTTGATTTCTTGCATGGCATTCCTTTGATTTATTTCAGGATCAAATGTGACGGCTTATGTGGGTATGGTATGTGATACATTGAGGAATTCTATCCCCAAGGCTGTTGCCCATTGTCAAGTTCGAGAGGCTAAGAGGTCACTGCTTAATCTTTTCTATGCCCAAGTAGGATCCAGAGAGGTACATACTTCCCTTAACTGATTAGTTGAGCTAGCTATTTATTAAGTGTATTTTCATTTTCATAAACTTTCACTTGTTCCTGACAGCAAACAATATCCTGTTTCCCAGTCAGGCGTTTGACTTACAACAAAGATAGGTCCATAAATTTCAGTATTTTTCTTTTTGTATGTGTGTGTGTGTGTGTGTGTGTGTGTATATACGTATATATAGGAGATAAACTTGACCACTTCGAAAAAAATTCAAGACAAATCCTACAATTTAAGGTACTGAAAAACTGGTTTTTAAGACAGCCCGCATGACATTCATTTTTAGATCATGAGATGTATAGGATAAAAGTTTCCATCCATGCAATTTTTTATTCTCATGAGGTTTTAGAATGTGTTGATCACAATGAAATATTTCTATATTATTATAGATGATTTAACATGTACGTTTTTATTCATGTGCATGTTTTGTGTGTGCGCGTGCGTGCGTGTGTGGTGGATGAATTCATTTGTCTTTACTTTTATTAGAACAATCCTTAACAAAACCTCTTAGATCTCAAACCTCGATAACTAGCCGTATGCAAAGAAAGAGAACCAGAAAGGGTTGATTTTTCTTGGTTAGCATCTAAGCTAATAGTATGCCTTAAAACCTTTTTTTTTTTTGAAAAACATACAGTTTCCGTTCATTTCCAACCTTAAAAAAGTGACTTCTTCTTTCGTACAATGGGTTCTCTTTGGTGTATTATACCCGAATCCTCTTTTTGCATCTATGTTGCAGAAGAAGCAGCTATCAGCAATGTTGGATGAGGACCCAGCTCTTATGGAGAAGAGGGAGGCCATCGCTCAGAGACTCAAGTTATACAAATCAGCCAGAGATGAGATTGATTCGGTCGCATGGAAATGATAGGCAAAACAAATGACATATTACCGATGGGTTCTCCTTCAGGAGATGGAACATTTTTCCACAGAAGCAGTAATTCATTATTGATCTTTTCTACACCTGTTCTCTTATGAATACGTCATTCTTTCATATAGTTTTCAAGATTGAGCTTTTTTTTTTTTTTCCTTTTTTTTGGTATCCATTAGTTGTTAAATAACTGAGATGTTTTTCCCCTACAATATTTTGTTAACACGCAGAAGGAAGTTCCACTTTGTAAGCTTGACATTAGCCGGCAGTTTTGGCTTCTCACTTTTGATGAATTACATGGGAGTTGTAAAGTTAATATAGAAATTATATACGATTTTCTTCAAGCAATGCAACTGGCTTGTCATCTTTGATATTGGATTCCTAGTGTCATTCATGAATGTCAAACAATTTCATGCGGTAACCTAAAGTTCACTCTTTAATACTAAATGAGATTCGTAAATGCACGTCACTGGAAGGGCACAATATTTTCGTCTACAATCAGGGTCATCTTAAGATGGTGAGTTAGTTCAACGTCACAAAAACTGATCTTTTGATCCTTCCATCAATATGGTAAGGATAAAATCATGTCATGGCTTGATCCTTCCATGCTTTTGTACAAACAAATAGAGCAATGAATAGGTTGGAAGTTCGTAGGCTCGCTGCTGAGGAAAAATGTGTATTAGAGTTAAACTACATCGATGCTATTTTTATATTCCTTGTGGTGGTAAGGAACGGTACAACATCACTCCATCATCATAAAGGTTTCGTAAAGAATTCAAGAACTAACAAACAAAATCATCAAAAGTGGCACGCCAAAATTCTCTCATACCAATATATGCACACAAAATCTTATTAAGAAAAAAAAAACATACAAACCACAAAGTGTACCAAATACCCGTACAAAAATTGTCATAAAAAACATAAAAAACCCTCCCTGATTAAAAACAAAGTCATCAGCCATCACCCTCAGGGCTGCTAGCCAAACAAAGCTCATGCAACTCATTCAAAATCCACTCCTCCCCGGTCTGCCCCCCCAAAACGAGAACCCTGGTCCCTCCAACCACACAAGTACTATGCCCCCACGCAAACTTCGGCGGCTGACCCGGCACATTCAGTATCCTCCATGTCGGCTTCTCCTCCGCCGGATCCAACAGGAACAGCTGCGAAGGCGAATGCAACCCCGCAATCGAACCCCCGAATATGATTATCCTCCCGCAAGGCAAGCTCACCGCCACGTGATCTAATCTCGGTGGCGGCCCTGCTTGCGTCAGTCCGCTCGCTCCAATCTGCCTCCATTGACCAAGTCCATCGTGTAAGTGTCGCAAGACCTCAGTCTTAACGAGCCACTCTTTGCCAAACCTCCGAACATTAAGATTTTAGTCCTTCCGTAGACTGAGAGTGTGTGTCCTAGTCTCGAAGGAGGTGTCCATGTTGAGGGTATTTCCCTCCACGTTGGTCTCTCTTTCGTGAGATCCAACAGAAATGTATCGCTTAAAAGAACTCCAGAATCGGTGCATCCTCCTGATACAACGAGCTTGGACCCCTCGATAGTGCACGAGCTGTGCCAGGATCTCGGTAATGGCG